CTGCGGCTGCTCCGGCTGCTGCCTCTGCTGGTCTGCCACATGAAATGTTATATGGAAAGCTTCTAACTCAGTGCCTGATGTAATAAGAATAGTTAATTTCCATTGTCTTGGTTTTTTTTGTTGTTGTTGCTCCAATTTCATAATACAAAATACGTATTCTTCCTGTTCCTAGGCTAAACAGTGTCCCTTTCAGTAATAATCATGAATTTTGCATCCTGTGGTTACTGCTCTGATTAGTGAGAAACACAGAATGCTTCCAATATTCAGTCTAAATGTTTATCTTTTTGCCTTAGCCTGAAAGACTAGAATTAAGTCCAACTTCTTCTCCCATCTGCTTCTGGTTCTCTATGCTGTCACAGGTATTGCTATCTGGTGTGTAAGAACCAGGCTAACACATCCAAATACTCCCCTAAAGTAGACCTGGCATTACCTCTATTTATCTCTAGGTCCCAAAAAAGTTATTTTCTTCTTAAGGCCTTCTTATGATTTTATTGGGAATTATTCCCCATTACACAATGAACTTGATCAGCTTCCTGCATCCCAATCCAGTAATTATTATGGATCAATGCATTAGAAAATGTCCTTACATGCAACAGCCGAATAGCTGCTTATGATGACATTATTTCCATCTTCAGCTTAGTATGGATGTTTTTCCATACACATTGCAATGCGAAAATATGTAGCCATTTATGTGACCACTACTTGAAGTCCAAAACCAAAATACCACTCAGTACATTTATTGCATCCCACTAATGTCAGTATATCTTCATATGTAAACTGAAAGTACAAATTCCCAAGTGATTAGCATGTACTTCCCTTCTTCACATTTCTATTGAGCTGGAAATGGAAACCATTCCAACAATAATCAATTGCATAAAAGCACAGCATATATTCCACAACTACAAATCAAAGTTATCACCCTCTTCTTCTGATGTCATTTGTTCCAGGCAAATGTAAGTAGAGGATACTTTGCTGACTGTTTTTCATTTTAAGTTCTCTTCTTCGGGATGGATTCTGCCATTTGCCCTTCTTCCTGTTTAAACTCTTGGGATGGGTCTCTTGCAAGGAAAATCGCTCTATTCCTGTTAGAAATAAATAGTTTTAATTTTACCTCTTAATCTTCATTTTCACTTTCATTTTGAATTTCCCATTTACAAGTATCTGACTAAATTGATTTGATGCTTAATGCTTGCCAAATAAATAATGAGGCTCTGAATGAGTCCATATGTAATAAGGCAAGGATTTCATTATCCTAACATTGCTATAATCAGGCAATGATTAAATTATTTCTAACATTTTTAATACCAGTGTGAAAATATGCTAAATACTCAACAATTTAAGCCTTCCCACCATGTTTTGTATCATACATGTCTATTTCCAGCAGATTATCACAACTTTGCAGGAATTGGCCTGTAAGGGTTTATGATAATGATAATGGAAAGAACTCATCCACAGGTATCCCCCTTTATCTCAGCTACATCTCTAAATTCTTTTATAAGTTCCATAGTAACAACCCTAAGGACCAGCAGCAGGAATGCTGATTAACACTTACTAGGGAAAAAAAGACTTAAATAATCAAACAATTTGCAAATGGTAGAAACCTAGACAAATGTTCAACTCATGGTTATTTTGTGGGGCAGGAGGGCGGTGCTCCATATTGGAGTATCTGCATGTTCATTCTTGGGTAGAGTGAGGCTCAGTTATGTCTTCCAATCAAGGACACTCAAATCTATCTCTGGCCTAATGGGCATTCCTTCCATTTTGCAGAAATCAGGATGTACCCATTGCATCCAAGGGAAATGCTTAACTCAGAAATCTGAGTTATGTTTGCCATACATTTGGAGTCTGACAGTAAGACCACCCAAGGAATGATTTGCAGCTTTAATGCATGCCTGCAGGATGGTCATATTGATGAAAAATCTGTATTAGAGCACCGTGAATCATCATTAAAAGGCATTTAAAATTGGCTTGTAAAATATGGTTTTTGCTGCACTCTATGTATTCTCCTGGAAAGATAAAGTAGTATATTAAAATGATGATATGGATATTAATAAATATGAAGTCATGGCTACTCTATTAGATCCCAATGTGGCAAAAGGAACCCCTGCAGTTTACTCTTAAGGTTAGTTTCTGTTTTTATTATGGAATCCATAGGAGGCATTTGACAATGGTCTGGAGTCAAAATATAACTTTCTTGCCACTAAGCTAGTCAGTGGTTCAGAACGTTAGTTTAAAAGGATACAATCTTCTATAACTGTTTCTGTTTCCTGTAAATTCCATTTGTGGGCTTATGATAGGCTGCAAGACTGTTAGATCTGGACAACAAGTAATTTCAGGCTGTCTGAATTCTTAATGTGAAGACTTTCTGAACACCAAACCCTCCTTGGTTTTTCAGCATGAAAACAGCCAGCAAGTTGGGGTGGGGAGGGCCAGTTTAGGGGAGTAGTGTTACTCTGGTGTTATTCTAGGGGCTAGATCTAGTGCACTGAGATATTTATAATTCTCATTGCAGTCATTGTACATCAAGATAATTTGTATTTAGTGATCAACCTAGCATTTAGTATGTAGCATTTATCTTATTAAAGCTACCAATTTAATTATATATGAAAACATTCAAATTAGCAAACATATGAGGGAAAGCTACTTGTGCATGGAAGAACATAGGCCTCTATTATGGTTAATATATTTATTCATTAATATAATCATTTTGCAATTTAAGAGAGTTTGGTTCTACCAATGTATTTTGCTAATGTGGATTAAAATGCCTGTAAGTTTGGACCAGTTTCTGAGCTTTTCCCTGCTCTCTTTATATGTTTTACAGTATCTAATTCTTCCTTCTCATTCATAGTTGTTTAAGCATTTTCGCTTCCTCCAGAGTATCTATTTTAAAATTTTATTCAGCTGGAATATATTGTTGATTATCATTAAAATATTTTTTTCTGGACTAAATGGTATTGTTGATATATGCATTTTGGGGCATACATACATACATAATAGTCTCATGGGATGCTAGATGTCAACATCTTGTCTAACTATAAAGTGGCATCAACAAACAGATGAGGCAAAATCTATGGGGAAGTAGAGACTGGTCTCGTAATATTTCATATTGCGCCCCCTTCAGATTATTAAGAGAATGTTTTTCTTACCTTTTGATATGGTTTGTATATTTGCCCCCTCCAAATCTCTGGTTGAAATGTGATCCCCAATGTTGAAGGTAGGGCCTGTTGGGGGCATTAGGGTTATGGAGGAGGATCCCTCCTGAATGGTTTGTGCCCTTTCCGTGGCATTGAATGAGTTCTTGCTGTATTAGTTCATGTGAGAGCTGGTTTTAAAAAACCTGGCAATTTTGCCCAATCTCTTGCCATGTGACACACCTGCCTCCCCTTCACCTCTGTCATAAGTAAAACCTTCCTGAGGCCTCACCAGAACCTGAGGAAATGTTTGTGCTGTGCTTGTACAGCCTGCAGAATCGTGGGCCAAATAAACCTCTTTTCTTTATAAATCACCCAGTCTCAGGTATTCCTTTATAGAAATGCAAAATGACTAATACAGCCTTACAGAGTACATCTATTCACTTTGTTTATCAATTGGCTACTTGCATGTTATATTCAATGTGTCATTTAAAAAAAATCATTCACTGACAATGAACTGTATCAAAACCAAAACCTTAATTCTGTCAGAGATACTAACTTGTTTCTGTTCCATATTGACATTTGTCTACATCTTCTTTATAAAGGATCAATTAATTTGTTATTCTAAATCCAGAGTATTTACAGGGGCATTTATTCTTAGTAACATCACACTCATGGAATAAGAACTGAGTCAGTCCAAGAGAACTAATTCATGGAACTGATGCTTTCTGTAGTGCTTGAGACTGAAGATTTTCTTGTTTCACTTAGTTTTCAAGGCTCTTCTTCTATCGTGGTGACTGTCCTTCTAGGTGTTCCTTCTCTTCCCTTATAGGACAATGTTCTCAGAATCCTCTCTCAGCCTCCCCTCTTCTCATTGTCCAATCACTCCTCACCCACAGGGATAACTGGTGATTCTCTTTTCCTGACTTCTGTTATGAACTGAAGATACTTTTGTTTTAATTGATACATTATAGTTATACATTGCTTTACTTGGAACTCTCAATGGTTCTCACAATCAATGAATTCCTGACCAAATTAAGCATCTCTCTTCTCCATGACTCTGTTTCATCCCTTACCCCTTATTGTGAAGCCTTGTTATCTGTATCCCCTAACATGTCTAATGTTATAACAGATAATGGATAGATATCCCCCGTCTGTCTCCTGCCAGTACCCCATTACTATTGAACTAGCCCAGATCTTATCATCTCTTGCTTGGACGTGTGCATCAGTTTCATAACTGATTTCTGATCTTTATTCTCTATATGCTCTTGACTGTCAGTCATATATGTCTATAGTTGTCTGTCTAAAGTGAAATTTGTTAGTCATTATTTTTGAATCTCTGTAGCCCATGATAGGATTTAATACTTTCTCTTCCCATTACTCCTTCCTTGGTTCATGTAATAATACTTTCTTTTAGTTTTCTTCTTACCTCTCTGCCTGCTCCTGCCAGGACTTTTAATATGTGCCCATGTTTGCCAGTTCCATAAATGCTAAAATTGAAATTGATAAATTCAAGCTCCATCTTTATCCCTTATTTCTTCTATCTTGGGCAGTCTCCAGTACTCCAAAAGCTTCTGTGACCACCTCTTTTTAGCAAATCCCAAATCTGTATTTTCTGTCTATGTTGAATATCAATTCCCTCATAAGTATCTGTCTCTGTTAAAATATTCTTTGGGAACATTCCTTTCAGTTTAACACATTCACAACTGAATCTGTCACTTTCTTCCAAAGCAGAGCTCTTTCTTCTGAATTCCTCACCGGAATGAAAACATAGCCGCTGGGCTTGTGAAATCAGAAATCTTGGCATTATCCTTAACTCCTTCTCGTTCTTTACTTCTCACATTACCAAGTCCATTGCCTTCTTCTTCC